CTCTTTTGGGAGGACTGGGAGAGTCTGTGGAGTGACGCACCTGCCGGACCCCTGATACGTGAGTATCAGCTGAGGCGTTATTATCACGCGATCGGGCTCCCGCCATATCGCGTCGAGGACGAGAACGACTACGAGGGATGGGAGCGAGAGGACGACGAGGACGCCTGGAAGCCGGACTGGGTCGACCCAGAGAGTGAGGTTGACGAGGAGGAGGAGGACGACACAGTGGACACTCACTTCCCGCGCATAGGGGTACCGGTTAGGGCCTCGGCGGAGTGTGCGGTGGGGCGAGTGCGAGCTAGGATAGCCGTTAGATTCGGCAGTAGAGTGAGAGAGAGGGAGAGGAGATCCTGTGGGCAGATGGTAGAGGAGATAGAGAGAGTCGACCTACCCTTTGGTGATTTCAGATGGCCTAGACCACCCGAGATCATAGCTCCAGACTTGGTGGAGCTTGATCTACCAGCCAGATGCGTCAATGAGCCAGGGCTGATTGACCATTGGTTGTCGACTCGGCTGGGGCTAGACGTGCACCTATGGTCATTTACCGTTCAGACTTACGAGTCTGATCCGCAGAGGTGGCGGACGCCTGGCACGACGTCCATAGAGGCCGTATGGCATATTTATTACTCACGTGACGTGAGCAGCGTCGTCTATATCCAAGGTTTGGTGCATGGGTTCTGGCGGTATGAGAGAGAGGTTAGGGAGATCCTGACCGGCGTGATAGAGAGTGCACGAGAGGGGGTTGAGGATTTGTATGGGCCTGTCAGGGAGACGAGGATTACGTTTCGGATAGGAGGGTTTGTTTTTCCGACAGTCCGACTACGCGCCAAGTTCCCGGTCTTTGTAGTGGAGCAGCTTTGGGGCTTGAGGCGCGTCGGGGAGAGATATTTCGCGGCTCTAGAGCTCGACGGATTAACTAGAGGGCAGATGGACCGGGACTGGATTGCCTACGCACAGTTCGTAGGCGGGCCTCTTACTGGAGAGAGGGGGATACAACTCATAGAGTTCTTACGTGCTCTAGTGCCTACAGCAGACCCCCACTCTTCCTTCCCGGGCCGGCCCTTTGAGTTTTGGCTGGCACTAGAGAGGGAGGTCCAGAGTCCAGTGGATAGTTTGGAGGGGGTCGGACGACTCTTTAGCGAGACTCCCGATGATAGGCCTGCTTCCCTCATCTCTATCTGGGAATTGGAGGAGCATTATCAGAGTATATACCCAGATAGGGAGGAACTCGGTTGGGACGCCGAAGACAGAGATTGGGTACATCATAGCGACATAGAGCCTTGGGGAGAGGACGTGAGACCGTGGAGAGACGTGCCTGACGCAGGGCAGGGCGACATTGGCGCTGGTATAGACGGACCGCAGGAGGAAGGTTGGGGACATCTCCTTCAGGCCAAGGGACAGGAGGATATCCCATGGGGTCAGGGGGGTAGATGAGGATGGAGATGAGGATATGCCAGATGCGCGAGACGATTAGTGGCTGGGCATATCCGGGCGTAGCTTAGAGAGGGAAGTAGGGGATCGATTAGTAGGCACGGGGAGATAACTTTAGGCAAGGCGAGAGTGGCAGTAAGAGCAGGAAGGGATGACAAACATGGATACACTGAGAGTGACTCTTTCCCTACGGCGAGATAGGACGGGCGACTGGGAAGAAGAGGCGTTGGACAATGTTGAGCGACAGATCAGACTCATGACGGAGCATGCCCTGGAGATACGGAGAGACCAGAGATACGTCGAGTTTACTATCTACTTCCATGGAGCTGACGGGAGAGTGCACAGCACCTACTCGACCATACTGGACCTGAGTGGGAGAGTTGTCTGAGGAGTTAGCAACATCGTGAGATAGGGAGCGTCGAAGGGAGTAGGATGACACAGATCGAGTGGCGAAGTGGAGATGAGGAGTGACTCGGTGGCTTGGCTAGCTTATGGTCTCTCACGAGAGTCCGAATCCTATAGCGTGAGGAAACTTGTAAGACCCAGAGAGACGGCTGTTGGATATAATATTTCACTTCCTGTGAGGTTACAGGAGACTGGTTGTGTCCCGATACGTTACCTTGGGACGTGGTTGGCAGAGGGACTTTTTCTTTGGACGGTGATACTAAAAGATAGACGACCCGAAAGGACTCATGACCTAGAAGGGGTCGGACATCTGATAACGGACAAAGCTCGTGATTTAGACATAAGACTGACACTCGCAGGGGCTAGGCTAGCTTGGTGTAGAAACGGGTTGTTGGCCTGAGTGATCGTTAATCAGCAACTGGCGAGACTCTCTTGAGGAAGGTCGTATTGGAGTCGCTTGGTATACGGAACTCCGCATCCAACCCTCTACCCGAGAGAGGGTTGACGATTTGGACTTCCTGCATTCGTAATAGGGCAGACCTATGGGAGCCTAGATCGTCTGAGTATAGCAGTGGACCACACACTTTACGCGCTTTGGGAGGGCTTAGCTCCCCGCTTCAGGGAAGCATACTACGCCATTTGTGTGAGATGGGGGTCACCCAGCAGAGAGACGCTTGACGACATCATAGACGTTACTTCCTGGGTGGACCGTCTGAGGCCAGTTGATCTGATTAGGTACTGCAGGAGACGAGCGGAGATTGATTATATTGGGCTGGAGAATGTGAGATTTCTCTTCGAGGTCGCAGCTTAGGGATTGCCGGGGAGTGATGCGCTTAGATAAGCAACTGGTAAGCACAGGGTACATTGTGACGGTACTTCTTCGAGCATACATAGATGAGGATTTGACGGTGAGGGAATGCCGACTACGAGCCAGGGATTTGATCCGCGAGCATAGAGCTGATCTATTGGCGCAGGTGACCTTCCAGACCTCGATTTCCTATGATGTGATGATATGGTCTCATGGTTATATGCGCGCGGAGCACTACCACGATGAGACGATAGCGGAGGCTAGAGCGAGGGTATGAGGATGAGCTGGAAAGAGATGTGGACAGAGTATGGAAGAGGAGAGTGAGGCGGTCGGAAGAGTGAGAAAGTGCATTAAAGAACCACTCTTGAACCAGGTAAAGGAGTTGGGGAACAAGATAAGGGAGATTGGGTCGTGTCGGAATGAAGGCAAGCTGCGTAGGGTTGAGCTCGTGACGAAAGGGTTAGAGAGTCTGTTCAGGGAGGATAGAGAGATTATCCAGGCGTGGAGGTCAGACTTTCTGGAGAGGGTAAAGGCTAGGAACCTATCGCACAAAGGAGCTAGGGAGAAGTCTACAGAGGACGTGATAACGGAGGACAAGGTAACGCAGGGGGATAGCAACAGGACATGAGCGGGACTGTGCTACACACGATGGACAGGTACTCGTTGCATGTGGTGGGGAGACTGGATGGAGCATTGGTGTTAGTGATCGCAGAGCTCCAGCTCCATACCAGGTTGTGTATAGTTGAGGAGGCAGAATGTGTTCGCCGGACACTACGTGAGGCTAGGGGAACAGGACTTTGGATTGGAGTCGAAGGAGGACGAAGGATAAAATACGTACTTCGAGTAACACCTTTCGAAGGGCAGTCTCAGATAAGGGCGTGGTACGAGACGACCAGAGAGGCTGAGAGAATGAAGATAAGCGAAGCCAGGAGAGTTAGGGAGCTAAGGAGAGTTATAGTGGACGGAGCGATACTGAGGGTGCTAGCTGCTCACGATCGATACTGGAGGGAGTCGATAAAGATTTTAGAGGCTATAGAGGATAGTGGAGATGAGGACAATTTTGAGATGTTCTATGACATATTGGAGTTGTCGGCGATGAGATTACGCGCAGCTATAGCACTGACTTCCCTCAGATACTAGACAGATGACCTAATAGCTGTCTGGGGGTTAGAGGAGATGGTTAGATGGCAGTAGGAGGAGGGTTACCTCCTTTTGCGGGCTACCCGATTCAAGAGGGACTAGATGATCTAGCAAGGAGGACGGAGTTAGACGCTCGAGGACTCTTGAGGGGTGCAAGTCGGGAGACATTGGTTAGGCTTGGGACTGCGATCTGCAGCAGGAGTAGAGATCCTGTCACGGGTGTAGCACAGATCAAGAGAGGGGCGACCTTGTTGGCAGAGCCCGAGAGAGAGGTTTACATAGACACTGGGATTCTTGGGTTAGAAGGAGAGCACGAGGTCCGCGACGGGAACGGAGTACTGGTGGCGGTAATCAGAGCGGTCGAGAGCTAAGACTGGAGACAAGCGCGAACCGTGGCAAGGAAACAGGTCCGGGCTGCGAGTTTTGTCGCAGGTCCGGGCTGCTGCAACTGTCACTGGTCCGGGCTGCGAGTTCTGCCACAGGCCCGGGCTGCGGCAACTGTCATAAGTCCGGGCTGTAACGCCCAGCGTGAGTGCCCAACTGCAACTTCTGGTAGCCTATGGAACCCGACACGATGGGGCCACAACCGACCACGGGCGAAACAGGAGAGGAGTACAGGACATCGCCCGACCGAGCACTGAGGGATTTGAAGGAACGAATTAGGCAGGGAGCACCGCTGAGATAGGCTGACCAAACCAATGACGGGGAACCCGACGTAATGGACGAGTCGGTCGTGACGGAGCCGCAGGGGACTTTGAAGACTGGGACTTCGAGCGCTCGACGAGAAGCGACGACACGACGTTCCCCCGAGTATGAATGGAGGGAAACCAGGGCGGATAGGCGCGGGGACGACTGGAGAGAGAGTTCACGAGATTCCTATTGGAGGGACAGAGACAGGGATAGAGCACCGCCCCGGCGTGTCTTCGACCCCCAGACGGGGGAGTCACACCCGCTCCCCTAGGAGAGCAAGGATCGCTATATTATTACGCACAAGGCCTCGGAGCCTCCTACTTTCAGGGGCTATGGTATCACAAAATATCTGGAGAAGTGGGAGCTTCACACAAACCGGAGTCAATGGTCGGAGGAAGAGATTATAGAAAACTTCCTATTTAATGTGGATCCAAGTCTTGGCAAGGAAGTTAAGGAAGCCCGACCGAAGGATGGGAAATGGACTACGTATAAGAAGAACCTCATTGAGTTTTACGAATTAGAGGATAACAAGTACTCCATCAAGGACCTTGAGACAATGACTCAAGATGAAGATGAGAGCGTACGGACATTTGGGATGCGTTTCCAGAAGATCTTCGACGTGCTGATGAAGAAGGGGAAAATCTCAGAGGTCGAGCGTTGTACTATCTTCATTGGACACCTGTCCAAAGGCAGACAAAAGAGTATACTTAGAGATCTCCCGCGCGACAAACTTGACTTCCCAGAAGTCCTAAAGCTCGCGATAAAGGCGGAGGCAGACGACTACAAGGACTTGGTATGGAGAGGAATGAGGAGGCGTGACTTCTCTCGCTATAAAGAGTATGTCACTGATAGGTATCCTGATTTCAAGGACTACCCCTGGTCGGAGAAGAAAGAGGCTGTGGCTGAGGAAGTGAAGGAAATAAGGAACATGGTGAAGGGATTGACTAGGCAGGTTACAGAGATTGTGACCAGCACAGGAGCCACGACTTACCGGGACAAACCCGGAGGGTCCTATTCACTTCGCTGGGACCGTAGGAATACCGATTCCTAGAGGAGTGTCGAGGATAGAAATCCTCGAACGCTGACTAATTATCGTGCGAGGGAAAGGGAGAGAGGCGATGAACCATGGCGACATAGGGATGATGAGATAGACCGAGACCACACAACTCGCGAGACGTATGGGCGAGCTAGGAGACTGGATGATTACTCGCGTAGCCCTCGCTATGAGGCCGATGGGGGTAGAGGCGACTCTCGAGGCCGGTGGGATATAGGGACGACATATACGAGAGGACGGATCGATATGGATACAGGGGTGGCAGGTATGAGAGAGGAGATCGAGACGGAGACCGACGGGATGACTCGCGCGGACGGTATGACCGCGGGGGATTCGCGAGGGCGCAGCGAGACGATTCGCGGGGGTGGTACGACCGAGGAGATCGACACGATGAGTCGCGCGGGCGATACGACCATGGGGACCGCCGGAATGACTCGCGGGGGCGATATGAGCAAGGAGGATCCGGAGGAGACCGCCGCAATGATTCGCGCGGCCGGAATGAGAGGGGGGGATATGGCGCGTCATCCGATCCGCATACAAAGTCCCCTGACCCTAGAGCAGCGAGAGGTTCGACCTCCAGGGGCGCAGACGACAGGCGACCCACTCTCAGGAACTCTTGCGTTTACTGTAGAGGGGATGATCATATCAAGAGAGACTGCCCGGATCTCAAACGGACAATAGATGAGGGACTTGTCGTGCTTGATGACCGCAAGTACGTCAAGTGGGAAGATGATCTAGGAGACGTATCGATGTTCCCTTCGATGAAGGAAAATGTTGAAGCAAGGAGAGTAAAGTCGAGTAAAGGAAAGGAGTCGGTTAGGAGCCAGAGCATCAAGATAACTTTCGAAGGAGATATGGCAACCACACCCATAAGGGTGACTGCTACCAAGTCGGCGAGGGGGTCTACCTCGAAGAAGACTGACACGGATTACGTGATGGCGGAGAAGGACGGACAGTGGATCGATGGAGAAGAGGTTATTCTTTCACCACGAAAGCGGGGAGTAAAGAAGTTCTTGATGAAGAGTTCGTTGGATGAGATTGGCACGGTCGAGCCACTGAGACGGGCCCTTCGGCAGCCCATGCAGTGCTCAATTTTGGAATATCTGGCGGCATCCAAGACGGCTCGCGACGAGTTACAGATGATCACGCGGAAGACTCGCATACCTCTATCAGAGGAGGTTCAGGTGGCCCCTAAGACGGATGCTTCTACTGTAGCAGTATCGGAGGTGATAGCTAGGGCAGATCGCATAGTGACAGTTCTTCTTGATGGGATGGAAGGTGTGCCTCCAGACAAGTTTTACATACTTGGAAGTGGGACCGTGGAGACGATCCTAAACGATGGTGCGGTTCTGGATGCTGTGATCGATAACGGCAGTGAGGCTGTCATTATAGACGAGGATCTGGCAGTGCAAGTTGGACTGGGCCTCGATAGGTCATACCTATTCGAGATAGAGACGGCTGATGAGAGAAAGCAATAGATCACCGGGGTTTGTCACAAGGCAGCCATAAAGGTCCAACGGGTACGAGTGACCCTGGCAGTCTTTGCAGTCAAGAACTTCAGCTCTGACCTGCTCTTGGGATGGACGTGGTTGAGCCACGTGCATGTGGTGATGATAGAGCGACCGGACGGGAGCCAGACATTGTTCATTAAGAAGCTAAATGGGGCTCGGATTATGATTGAGACAGTGGAGCCTCGAGACCCGAGGAACAGAGCAGCTCTCGCTGTGGGTGCGGGACCCGGTGATCAGATTAAGTCATTACCTCTCTCCGGCCGCGTGCGATTTCGCGAGAAGAAGTATGAATCACTGCTCAGAGAAGAAGAAGGCCGGATTGTAGAGGTGGAAGATTTAGAAAGTCGGCTGATAGTGGACCGCAGCTCGTATCCAAAGGAGGCAGATGAGGAATTTGGCAGTGTGGTATCTCTGTCTTTTTTAAGGGCACGGCCCCCTATGGGGGGCTACCCAAGCGACCCAAGCGAGTAGCTCAGAAAGTTAAGCCAGCAGCGGTGGGCCGCGAGCGATGTGCACTGGAAGGGATATCAGAAGAAGAGATCGCAAAGGAAATCAAAGGAAGGAAGAAAAAGGGGCCGCAACGCCTAACGGAAGAGAGGATAGCAGGGATGGAAATCGGAGATGGAAATCTGACCCCACAGGAGCGAGAACGTGTGATAGAAATCCTAAAGACATGCGATAAGGCTATAGCTTTCAGCGACGCGGAGCGCGGTAGGGTTGACCCTCGATACACTAAGCCAGCAAGGATTTACACGATTCTACATGTTCCATGGAATGACGCGGGATGAAAGTACGCCCAGAAGGAGAAGGAAGAGGTTATCGCTTTCCTGAAAGAAAAGGTGGCTTCTCATGTTGCAGAGTCATCTGACAGTGCTTATGCTAATCGATGGTTCTTCCTACGAAAGCCGAATGGCAAGATCCGGTGGATCCAAGACCTTCAGAAGGTCGCGGTGAAGATTCGAGACGTAGGTTATGTGCCTCACGCCGACTTACTGGCTGAAGGCGCCGCGGGCAGGTCGATTTATTCGGTCTGTGATCTGTTCTCAGTCTATGATGAGATACCGCTCGATTCTAGGGACAGACACCTCACGGCTATGCACACGCCTTTGGGATTGATACAGATGATGGTCGTCCCTATGGGTTGGACTAATGGAGTAGCCGTTTTTTAGAGAGCTATGGTAGCCGTCCTCAAGGACTTCATCCCTGATAAGGTTGAAGTTTTTCTGGATGACTTTCCTATAAAAGGGCCGGTAAAGAAAGATGAGACACAGGTCGTACCAGAAGTTAAAACATTCGTCGAGCAGCACCTAACAAATATTTGCGCGATACTTGAGCAACTGGACGATGCAAATTTAACGGTCAGCGGAACAAAGAGTCGGTGGGCCGTCTCGACTATTGAGATCTTAGGGTTTATCTGCGACTCGAGAGGACGCCGACCGGATCCTGCAAAGCTAGACAAACTCCTAAATTGGTTGTCGCCCTTGCATAGTGCTACCGAGGTCCGAGAATTTCTGGGAGTGGTCGGTTACTGGCGGATATTGATACGCAGGTATGCGGAGAAGGCTGCGTCATTGAGGGTACTCCTTCGAAAGACTGATAAATTTTAAGGGATTCTTCTCAGGAACTCGTCATGCAAGAGCTTAAAGACGAATTTAAGGAGGGCGGATGTGTACTGGGCGTGCCATTCTTTGACGATGAGGCTGGGAGGCCCTTCATAGTATCCACGGATGATGGACCTTGCTCAGTAGGTGGGTTGTTATCTCAGAAGGACGCTGAAGGAAAGGAAAGACCATTAAGATTTGGGAGTAGAACGCTTAATACTGTTGAGCGTAATTACAGTCAGTTCAAGAAGGAAGTGTTAGTTGTTCTGCGGTGTCTAAACACGTTCAGACACTATATCTACGGACGGCGGTTCATCTTAAGAGTAGATCCCATGGCGGTTGCCTCTGTCCTCCAGAAGGACTTTAGTCTGACGGATCCGACCATCGCACGATGGTTAATACGGATTCGACTCTATGATTACATAGTTGAAATAATATCGGGTACTAAAAATATCGTGGCGGATGGGCTTTCTCGAATCCCTCTTGAGGCTGAGCGCCCAATAGTAGCTGGAGCCCTGACAATGGCGGAACCAAGACGCTCCGATCGATTTCTGGTTAACCTTTACGAAGATAGATACCAAACGATTGGGTTACATTTGTCAGGTGGGGAGAGTAGATTCAAATATCCGGAGACAAGCAGCCCAACACTGCCTTAGAGCGGACCATCTATTCCGTAGACCAGTCGGGTCGAGGATGCCTCTACGAGTAGTCCGTGATCCTGAGGAGAGGCAGACGATAGTTGCGGAGCTTCACGATGGGGTAGTCGGAGGACATAGAGGAGTCAAAGGGACCTACGAAAAGGTACGCAGGCTGTACTGGTGGGAAGGACAGTATAAGGACATCGAGAGATACTGTATAACCTGCGAGGACTGCCAGAAGAGAGTTCTTGTGAAATACAAAGAGCCACTTCATCCATCCTATCCAACCAGGCCAGGAGAGAAGGTACACATCGATCTGGTGAAGATGCCGAAAGGAGTAGGCAATATGAACTACGTTGTGAACATACGAGACGACTTCACTAGGTTTGTGGATGATAGACCTATCAGGAGTAAGACGGCAAGGGAAGTAAAGAACTTCGTCCTAGAGTACTTATCTAGGTATGGTTGTGTCAGCAAGATAGTGATGGACAGAGGGGCGGAATTTCTAGCTGACGAGGTGCAGAGTGTGTTCAAGAGAGCCGGGGCGAGAGTTTTGATAGCCACCGCCTACCACCCACAATCGAACTCTCCGGTAGAAAGGGGACACCGGACTCTGATAGCGTCACTATCCAAGTGGTGCAAAGGTAAGGACAGTGATTGGCCACGGTATTTTCAATTCGCAATATGGTCGGACAACGTCACGGTCCGGGCTAGCACCGGATACCCACCATACACCTTGTGGTTCGGACAGCATTGTCCGCTCCCCATAGAGTTTCACGTCGACAACTGGACAACCGTCGACTGGGCGGAAAAGATGTTCAGAGAGGAACTCATAGCTGCCCGAACAAGACAGATAGCCTACGATTTGGAAGACGACCTTATGACAGCGGCAGATCGTCTGGCAGTGGAGAGGGACAAAGGAAAAGAGAGATGGGATAAGAGCGTGCGGATCAGGATAGAGAGGGTGAGCGTAGGAGATATGGTCCTTCTCTACGACGCGACACTGGAAAGGACCTGGACCGGAAAACTCGCCAACAGATGGATGGGACCTTACAGAGCGATTGAGGCGCTCGACTGGGGTGCCTATATGATAGCAGAATTAGACGGATCCAAGTGGAAGGACCCAGTGGCAGGTGCTAGGTTAAAGTTGTTTAGACCCAGGCCTGCACCCACCTTATCGCTTACATGCCCAGAAGGGAAAGGGAAGGCCAAAATGGAGGATGGAGCCCCCTCGAGACGATTCGATGCAGGGGAGAATTCCAAGAAGAGGAAAAGAGTGGAAAGAAGAAAGGTCAAAGGGTTGGCATTAGGAAGAGTGAAGAAGTGGTTATTCGTGCTCAAGACGGCCAGACGGAGAGTTCGCATTAGACAAACTCGCGGGTCGGCACTTTTTTCGAGCCAACGCCAGAAGAAAAAGAGGGTCCTACCAAGGCCAAAATCCCGAAGGAAAAGGAAAGTCAAGAAACGTCTTCTTAGCCCCAGAACTCATAACAAACCGAAACTTAAGGCAATTAAAGGCCGACGTGGGCGCCCTTTATGGGCAATCACCCTGAAGCTCGTCCGCTTCGTTTGACGCAAGTGGTTAGGGCTCGACGGGGGCGTCGAGAAGTGGTCCGGGCTAACTGTCAGCCGGCCACAAGCGGTGCGCCGCCTGAAATCTGCGGCTTTGGAACTTAGGCTCAAAGACAAGTCCGTGTTTTGACGGTACTCTGGTTTGACCAGGCAGCAAAAATTATGGAAGCTCAGGGCACCCCTGATTTTGGGCGCACTGAACCTTACGAGTAACCCTCAAAGATGGCGAAATG